TTTTCAATATATTCAACAACAAGTTACATCAAGCCACCACTTACTTGAAAAGTAGAATTTCGACGAAAATTGTGGAATCACATTTCACACCCTTGAGAATTCCACCGCACTTCTCACAAGCCTGAAATAAAAATTTAACATTTCATTGGAACAAAATCACATAGGAAAAGAAATATTGAGGAATGAGGAATCAAAAGCAAAGTCATCAATAGGAGGGTCCAAAAATGGGTAAAAATTTGAAATAAATCATACAAATACAATAGGCAATTAAAGCTTTAGTTAGAGGGGAAACACATACAGTAAGAACAGTGGATTAAACTGAAAATTCAGAAACAGTTGAATTAACCACTCAAAAACAACTAAAAATGGACATTTATGGCTCCATGGAAGCAAAACTAAATGCATAGCCAATTTTTCCACCCAACTTTAAGCAGTCCTTCAAAAGTTAAAGCATCAATGACCATCATTTCCCAAGAAAACACAAGCCCAGTTAATAAAAATCAATTAGTCATCATACATACTACACTGATTCAAAACCCTTGTCACGATGAATACTCTGATAACAGAAACTAAAAGTGGCGAAAAAAACAAAAACCTGCCATTTTCATATTGTCCGATTCAGTTTCTTTACAGTACTTTTGATGAAAAATCCACTAGAAAAGGCTTTATTTTCTTGAATTTTTGATGTGGGTTTGTTGTTTAGAGTTCAACTGTGGACTACCGATTGGCTGGAGGACTAAGGAGTCGTAATTCACGCGGTTAGGCCGTTGGGGTTGAAAAAAGTTGTGAAATGTGTGAAACTTGTGGTTAATGAAAGAGTGAATGGAAGGGAAGGAGGATTAGATGAGTCGCGGGGACGAGGTCGACTGGTTGGAGTCGGGCTGAAGGAGAGAATGAAAATTGATTTTTCATTTTTCCATTTTGTAATTAAAAAAATATATATATAGTTGGGCCAAAGATGAGGCCCATCCAGTATTGGCCTGATTGTAAAAAAAAGGGCCAAAAATAGGCCCCCTCCAGTTTTGGGCATGAGCGCCTCGCCTCAGGACCGGGCCGGTCTTGTGATTGGTTGGTGTCTGCTGCAGTTTTGTGGAGGTCTTCGTGGCCGCGACGGTTTGGGGATTGTTTAGTGGGGGTAGTGGTTGTGGTGTGGTGGGGTGGAGATGAAGATTGAGAAAATGGTCGTTGTGATTTTTAGTTCAAGTGATGGTGGCTGTGATGGAAATGGAGATGGCGATGGTATGATGTTGGTGGCGGTGGTTGTGATTGTGGATCGGTAGCGGTGACAATGGCGGTACTGGTGTTGGTGGTGGTCATGGTAGTGGCGACGACAGCTGCGATATGGCAAGTTTGGGGATTTTTTGGTTGGTAGTGGTGGTGTGGTTTTGATTCTTGGTACATGCGTTGGTGGTGCTGATGGTGGGAAGAATTGTGAGATGATGGTTTTGATGGTGGCGGTCAGGTTGTATAAAGAGGGATTGTGACCTATTATTTAGTTATTGTGACCAATAAATAATATATGTCCAATAATTTGAGATCGTAACCAATAATTGGATATTTTGTGATTAATAGATAATATGTAACTGATAAATTGTATCTAATAAATAATATGTAATCTAAAAATTTAAGTCGTGATTTATAAAATTTGTGATTTGTGACCTTTAAATTTTTTGATTTGTGACTGTAAAATAATTTGTGACCTCTAAGGTTTTTGATTCTTGATTGAGAAATAATTTGTCACTAGTTCATTTGATAATTTGTGAAAAAATAATATAGAATTGTTATCTTAATACATTGAATTTATAATTAATTATTTCATAAATAAAATTTAATTAATATCTGATTTCTGAAATTTGAAACCTTTTTTCTTAGTTTTGAAATGGAAGATTCCCTATAATGAAACAGAATTGCAACTATGTTTTGACTAAATCGTTTTGTTACATGCAAATTGGGCTGGGACTATCTTAGATCAAGCCACAAACATGTCTGCCCATAGAGCTGAACTAGCCCATCAGAAAATGTAGTCCAGGCATCCCCCAATATTGTGGCTAGCCCGACTGGATTGGGATAACTCGTTATTATATTATTATTATTATTTTTTTTTTTTTTAAGATGAAACACGTTTCATTGAACAACGCAATAGCGAACGGTACACGGAGGAGCCCCTCCTACACAATGCCCTACAAAGAGGGGTTAAGTGCGACCAAAGCCTGAGCTCAAGCAATTACAACTGACAGATTGACAAACATGACAAAAGCCAAACAA